TGGGGGACCCCCCCGCCAGCATCCCAGCTGCTCTATTGCAGGCATCCCTGATTCAGCTGCTGCTGAAACTGACCAGCAGCGGCTGAATCAGGGACATCTGGGGCAGAGGCAGACTATCGTAAGGGGGGGCTATGAAGGGTCTGGGGTGGCATCCTCTCCCACCCCACTCCAGACCCCTCATAGCCCCCCCTTCTGATAGTCCGGCATATCTGATAATCCGGCACCCCCTGGGTCCTAAAGGTGCCGGGTTATCTGAAGTTTACTGTACTAAGTAGAAAATTTTAAACACTTGTTAACGTATAGTGCAATTTGAGATTACTTTGTTATGGATATTGAATTTACTTTTCAGCTGGATTTTTTTTTTCTTTATGCACTGTATACTTGTGGGTTTTTTTTGGCAATGAACTAGTTTGGAGTTCTGGAGAGTCCCAGGCTGACAACTATCTTCAAGAAGATTGTGTGCTGGTTTAATTGTATCTGTAGCATCATGCTGCTACTATAGCAGAAAGAGGCTTTTAATCTGCAAATGGCTATATATTCTGTTTTTTAAAAAAAGTAAAGCATGGCTTGAACACTTCTGAATTGACACTTTATGAGCCTTTAGGGACACGTGTTTTTGTGGTAGGCAGAACTGTTTTTAGCCTCAGAGGGGTAGCCGAGTTAGTCTTTATAGTGCTACTAGACTATTTGGTTTTTAAGTTTTTCCTGTTACAGACTAACAAAACATGTAGATGGTATCATGAGCTTTCGTAGGCACAATCCACTTCTTCAGATGACTGGAGTGTTGGAAGTTCAGATCCAATGATGAAGGAGGGATGTGGGGAGAAGGAAGAACAATTGAAGGGGAGGAAGGGAAAAAAGACAGTGAGTAGATAAGCTGTGCTTCAATCCCACAGACAGACACAAAAACCCCACAGACAGACACAAAAACCTACAGGATCTATATAGAACATTCTTAAAACTGAAATACCCACCTGAAGAAGTGGGGAAAAAAAACAGGTTGACAGAGCCAAAAAAGTACCCAGACATGAACTCTTTCAAGACAGGCTCAAAAGAGAAAACAACAGAATTCCACTTGTCATCACCTACAGTCCACAACTTAAACCCCTCCAACGTATTATCAAAAATCTACAACCTATCCTGAAAAATGACCGCTCACTCTCAAAGGCTTTGGGGGTGAAAGGCAAATTCTCGCTTATAGACAACCCCTTAACCTGAAACAAATTCTTTCCGGTAACCACACAACACAGCTACATCATAAGCATCCAGGAACTCACCCTGACAATCAGCCCCAGTGCCAACTCCGCCCACACATCTACACAAGCGTTTTCATCTGATTTGGTGGCTGGACCCAACCACATCAGCCACCAAATCAGAAGCTCATTTAATTCCACATCCACTAATGTGATCTATGCCAGCAATGCCCCACTGCAATGTATATCAGCCAAACTGGACGGTCTCTACGTGAAAGAATTAATGGACACAAATCAGATATCCAAACAGGCAACACACACAAACCTATTGGAGCAAAATGCAGGACAATGTAGCACTTTAAAGACTAACAAGATGGTTTATTAGATGATGAGCTTTCGTGGGCCAGACCCACTTCCTCAGATCAAATAGTGGAAGAAAATAGTCACAACCATATATACCAAAGGATACAATTAAAAAAAATGAACACATATGAAAAGGACAAATCACATTTCAGAACAACATATAATGGTTGTGACTACTTTCTTCCACTATTTGATCTGAGGAAGTGGGTCTGGCCCACGAAAGCTCATCATCTAATAAACCATCTTGTTAGTCTTTAAAGTGCTACATTGTCCTGCATTTTGCTTCAGCTACCCCAGACTAACAAACCTATTGGAGAACACTTTAATCTTCCTGGACACTCATTAATGGATCTCCAAGTCACTGTTTTGTTTTAGACCAATTCCTCAAGCCAAATACACAGAGAAGGATTGGAGCTTAACTTCATTCACAAGTTTAATTCATATGCTAATGGTTTGAATCAGGATATAGGCTGACACACACTACCTTCCACATCCTAATGACTTAAACCAAACAACGGAGGTGCTAATTGTTCTCATCAGCCTCTACTTGAAACATCTACTCT